CCTCCTACCGTCCACACCCCCCCCCCCCCCCCCCCATAACAACAATCTCTGATACACATCAGAATTGCATGACCTCAAGAGAATTGCATCATTCTAGAGAGCTATTTAATTAAAATAACTAACATTACAGCATGGTATGAAATCTGAGCCCTGTTTTGGCCCCCAAAAGAAGCTGTAGAACGTTTCCTAAATCTAGTCTTGATCTTCAAGCTATTGTTCTAAAATGGGTAGCAGAAAAATTATTTTTCTGCATTAATTTATGCTGTGTGTTAGGAACTGTTTTGCACATGAATAGCTTGACACAGAAGGTAGACTGTCGTATGCTGTACTGCTTGTATTCCTTTTGTTCACTGTATTTTATTTATTATATTTTAACTAGATGACTCCCCAAATGCTTGGAAATTATACACAAAGAAAATCATTGAAATACACCTACCTGTCTTAAGGTAGTAAAAACAAACAAAAAACACGCAAAAGTTTTAGCCAAGAACTGTAGGGCAAACCCATACTTTTTAATATATTGTCTTAATGAAAGTTTAATCTCCCTGAATAGCAAAATGGACATGTTCTTCAGTTCTCAACTATACTCCCTCTTCCCCTCAGGTCTTAGTTTGCCCTGTTCCAGTAAATTCTACAGTATATCCACTCCTGATTCCTTTATCTAAACATTGGAAATGTGAGACATAAACCTGTTGAATGATCTGTCCATTTAAAAAAGACTTCTTCCCTCTTCGTGTAGTCATTTTAGTTCTTATGCTGACACTCAGAATTGTTTATATCTTGACAAACACCATAACTGTGGACACATTTTGAAGTTTTAATGGGAGGGGGGATTCTTTTCTTTAATGAATTAGCTTTGTAGAAATTATGATTTTCCAGAAGGAGCAAGTAAGCTTTGGTGGATGTTCTGGCCATAAACCATAAGCAGGACCTTTGTTTGTTTGTGATTGCAGTATCTGATGAAAATAACTTAAGAAGTTGGAATGTTGGATTTTCTACCTCCTCCCCTTTTTCCTAACATTTTTCCATCCCATTTTACTCTTTTTAAGACTTCTAGTCTAAGCTGACACATCAGTATAAAGGTAAAAGAGAAATGGTTAGGAAAGACTAGGAGAGCAAAGAAGACAGAAAAATGATGTTTTTTCTATTTGTAAATATAGATCTTTCATAGGTCTTTCGCGCCTCATATGTTTGAAGAAACTGGCTTTTGCAATCAGCTTCTGCTTATTGTACTTTGAATTGCTTAGATGTTACGCTGATTGCATCTGTCTGCTTAGCTGTGTGTAGAGTCCCAGTCATCATGTTGGGTGGCTCTTGAAAGAGTTTTAAACTCTTAAGAATGTTGACATTGTTTCACAGTCAAAGTTGTTAATGATTTTTATTGAAAGCAGTAAAATACTTAATGTTGTGTTTCAATATTTGGGGACTATTTGATTTCACAACAGGAGTTTCGGTCCTCCTTTTTCTAGTTGACTGTGAGTTTAATTGAGTGGTCTTTTGCAAAAATAAGTGTTAAGGCTATAAACAGGGGAGTTTTTTCGGTAAAGCACAGAGTGTCTTGCAAAAAGAAAGCTGCCAAAAATGTGTCCCTTTCAGAGACTTCGCACTGGCAAACTGCTTCAGACATGTATGCATCTTAAGGGAGAATACTGTATCTATGTTAACTACATGGAGGTTACTTTTCTACCAGGTGTTCAGCATGGTTTAAATCTGTGTGTGCCTTGAAGCTTGTTTCCTTCTGCAAAGTGTTCTTTAAAGAGATTTCATTAAAAAAAAAAAAGAAAAGAAAAAAAAGTAATTTTTTTATTTAACTATGATTATAGAAATGGTTTAAATTAGTTCATCTATTATATTTCATCTATGTTTCTTGTACATTTTTAGGCCTAGAAGAAATTGCGAAAGAAAAAGAGAAGTTAAAAAAGGTAGAAAGCATGCATATCAAAGAAGAAGAATTTGAGACAGAAGAAAAATTACACTGCTTAAATACAACTCACTGTGAGCAAAAGGAAGATCTGAAAGAAAAGGACAACACTAATTTGTTTTTACAGAAACCTGGGTCGTTTTCAAAACTAAGCAAACTGTTAGAGGTAGCAAAAATGCCACCTGAATCTGACATTATGTCCCCAAAACCTAATGGCAGTGCAGCAAATGGCTGCACGTTATCTTACTCAAGTAACTCAAAAAACTCTCTCTGCAGTCTTCAGCCCACTGTATCACAAAGCACCATTGAGAAGTCTGATTCTAATAATCTTTTCAGTCCTAATGCAAGTGGGACAGGAAGGTTTTACAGTTCTCCACTAATTCCAAATGATCAGCTGTTAAAGACTCTTACTGAAAAGAGCAGACAGTGGTTCAGCCTTTTACCAAGAATACCCTGTGATGACATGTCAGTTACCCATATAGATACACCAGCGACTACAACTTCACTTACTCCTCAATCACATCCACCATCAAAGTCACCTTCACCTGTACCATCACCTCTTCTGGGCTCAACCTCTGCACAGAGTCCAATGGGATTAAGTCCTTTTGCATTGTCACCACTGCAGGTAAATTAAATGAATTTTTGAATAGCCTGAATTTGCTGTGCTTATTTGGGCAGAATTTCTTTTTAGACAAATTGCTTCACAGAAGTGCTATCATTATATCATCATTTCTTTATTTTTTTTCCCCATTTCTAAAGGTTAATAACTAATTGCATGTAACATGTTTTATAATACTACAGGTTTTTTGATAAAATGATTTGATAGGTAAAATTTGGTAAGCCAAGGGATGATATTTTGTACATGTATTTCAGTAATTTAATTTGGCTTTTAGGAGATTGGCCACTGGTATTAAATGAAAAGCAAATAAATAAACAAAACCTGGTTTTCAGAAATGTGACACATCACACTCTCCCTTTAAAAACTACTCTTTTTCAGGTGTTAACAGGGACCTAATGAGGAGTATTACACATCAGTGTGAATGTTAGTTTTTAAACTAATCAAAGTACTGAGTAAAGGCCTCCCTTATGTTTTGATTGTTGTTTGACAAATAAGATCCTAATAATAATTCAGGTTTCTTGGTAATAATTACTAATGGTAGTTGTGATTGTGTTAACAATGTATTCTGTGTAGCAGATGAAGACTGGACTACCTGTAATGGGACTTCAGTTTTGTGGATGGCCTACAGGCATTCTTACTTCAAATGTTCCATTTTCATCTCCTTTGCCTGCTCTTGGATCAGGGTTGGGATTATCTGAAGTGAATGGTAACTCATTCTTGGCATCTAGTGTTCCTGCAAGTAAAAGCGAATCACCAGCACTACAGACTGAAAAAATAGCTTCTGCCCCTTCTACAGCAGTTGAAGTAGCCAAGCCAGTAGATTATCCTAACCCAAAACCTATACCAGAAGGTAAGTATAATAGAACAGTAAGATGGAACTATGTGAAGGATAATTTCTACAGTGCCACTATGATGTTACAAATTTTTTTTTTAATAATTTGCTTATTGAATTTGGCTAAATGATTTCTCTAATCTGATTGCATGTGATCACATAAAAAATGCCTGCAAAGTGTTTATATGCTTGTCTTGATTTAGAAATGCAGTACGGGTGGTGGAGGATTACTGATCCAGAGGACCTAAAGTCTTTGCTTAAAGTGCTGCATCTCAGGGGAATAAGGGAAAAGGCTTTACAAAAGCAAATACAGAAACACATGGATTATATCACTCTGGCCTGCATCAAAAATAAGGATGGTATGTAATTGATATTTATGTTACACATGGTGTTGGGGCAGAAGGCAAGTGGCATAGAGCTCTTTGAGATGCGTTTAGATACAGAGTTAGAGTAGCAGCTGGAGAAAAAAGGTAAAGGTCTCGTTGTCTGTAGTTGCCTTTTCACCAGTCTGGTTCTAGAAAGTTACAGGATTGGAGAAATCCCGTTTAATGTAATTTGCTTTAGTGGCATTAAGTGTTGTTAACCTTTTTAAGCTCTTTCCATCTCTGTAACACTCTAGCTCAGCCTCTCCTTCCCCCTCCTGCCTTTAAATTGCAAGTTTGAAAGCCTACAGAACTTGTTGTCCATACTGGGTATCTTAATAGTAGTACACTTTTACAACAGTTCTTCAATATTTGACTGGAGTGATGGGTAAATCAGCTTTAATTTACTCAGAGAATTTATAATACTAATTAAAATAACAAAAATGTGATTCTCAAATACAGTTGCAATTATTGATATCAATGAAAATGAAGATAACCAGGTAACTCGAGATGTTGTGGAAAACTGGTCAGTAGAAGAACAAGCAATGGAGATGGATCTTGCTATTCTTCAGCAGGTGGAAGATCTAGAGAGGAGAGTTGCATCAGCTAGTTTACAAGTTAAGGTAAAACCAACTTTTAGTAAAATGTCTCTTTAAAATAAGTGGTAAGAATTTAAAGTAGATAGTAGCAGTCCTTTTGCTGTTGGTAAGTGCCTTCTTATTCCATCTCTAATTATCTGCAAATAAAACAAATCCACTGCAGCAATATCATGGATATTTGTGTTTGAAACATTGTATTGCCGTTAAATCTTCAGCTGAAGATGCTCAGAATGGCAGTTCCTGGACAGTGTTCTCGTACAGTGTGTAGTTCCCTGTACATTTTGTTAACCTTCTGTGAATGCAAAGATTTTGTTGCATATAGCCTGCTTAATTATAGTGGGTTTTGCCACAGTTCTGCCTGGTTTGGGTGATTGTTGCTGTTAATGCTTTCAGAGAAGCCTACAAGTACATCGTAATGCTTTGCTTGAGTAGTGTAGAGTCATGGAGAATGTGTGATGGTTGTGAGTGTGAGAGAGTTAAGAATTCACTGGCTGTCAATACAATTTGGAGTTTTTCCAAGGTGGGTGTAAGGATATCAAATTGCATATGTTCGGTTATAGTACAGATGTAGTATTTGGGATCGTTTGTTCTAGGGGCGGGTGTTGTTTCAGTGTCACCAATTGATACTGTCTCCTGAGCCTGTTGGACAGATAGACCTATTCTGATGTTTTGACCAATAGAACAGGATACTTCAAAAGGAGATAAGAATGCAGACTGTTGCAGAAAGGTCCCTTCAGAAAGTCTGGTAATGCTTGTATTTTTTGATTAATTATTTTAGTTCTCTGGATATTTTGGAAACTGTCTCTACAGATGGATTACAAGTAACCAAGATCTACTGGAAACAGCGCTTCAGTTGCTTAGTTTGATTCCATAAAACAGTTCCTCTGATTACACACTAAGTTAACAGCAACCAATAAATGCACAAACCTTTCTATTAACATAGGGTTGGCTGTGTCCTGAACCTGCATCAGAGAGAGACGACTTGGTATATCGTGAACATAAGTCAATTACTAGATTGCACAAGAAGCACGATGGAGATTGTGCTGGAGGCGGAGAAGGCAATACCAGCTCTCTAGAGCGGAAGAGTGACAACCCTCTAGATATAGCTGTTACCAGGCTTGCTGACTTGGAGCGGAACATAGAGCGAAGGTATCTGAAGAGCCCCTTAAGTACCACCATTCAGATCAAACTGGATAATGTGGGCACAGTTACTGTCCCTGCTCCTGCACCATCCATTAGTGGTGATGGTGACGGGTAGGTTATTGAGATTAACTTGAAAAATTATTGTGCTTCTTTGCTAATTGGAGCCTATTTTCTTATTGCCTGTTATCTATGTACTTTCTTGTATGTCTGTGATCCATGTGGATCATGTTATTCTGCATGGTGCTTTGTAAAGATATTTTTTTGTTACGTTTGTTGATAATCTTGCAAAGTTATCTTACATTTAACTGGTTGTGACTAAGCTTTGAGGCACGTAGCCACAGTCTGTGCACTACATGAAATTTAGTTGCTTAAACCTTATACTTATTGGCTGTGTACGTTTTGTCGTTGCTTGGCTTTCAGTGTGATAATGATTGTTCCGCGTTTAAACATAAGCAAACACGGATGTGACCTACTTAATTTCTCTGTATTTCAATGCAGAACTGAAGAGGATATTGCTCCAGGGCTAAGGGTGTGGAGAAGGGCATTGTCAGAAGCGCGCAGTGCTGCACAGGTAGCTCTGTGCATTCAGCAGTTACAGAAATCAATAGCATGGGAAAAATCTATTATGAAAGTTGTAAGTGTTTTTAATTTAAAAAAAAAAAAAATACTGTAACTAAACTATTTTTTCTATATCCTGTTATCCCACTTCAGGCATCTCAAGATACCATGGTTAATAATGCAATTCTTACTACTGCGTGTAAAACTTAATACAGTTAAACTGTACATTGTGCACAGATAAATATAAAGCTAACAGAAAAGATTGTCCTTTTCTTACCAAATTTAGCATCCTGAACTTTCTAAGATAAAAAGCCCCTTTATTGCTGATTGCTTTATTTAAGATGGTAATTACTCTTTGTTGTTAACATTTAGGTAAAAACCAGTAATTTCTGGCTCCATCTGATGGAAGTTACTCTATCTGATGGAATATTTCTGATCTCATCCGTGACATAAGCTTTATGGAGGTTCAACATCACATATTCCAGTGAAGGGCTTCATTTTTCAGAAAGCTGAGATGCTCCAAATGTGTGGCTTCTTTGCATGCACACTTCTCACAACTGAACATACAAATTGGGCAAGTGTGTGAGCAAATAGGCTGAAATACCTGTTTCCTTGTACACTTAACAAGTAGATCTGTGTTAACTGCATAAACAAAAAAAGGCATGCAAAATGCATGTGTCAAAATTTGCATGGACCTTTGAACCTCAAATTTCTGAAAACAAAACTATTACTACAGCAGTAGTGATTATGATGTGATTAAGTATGCCCAGTGCTATGTAGTAGGTGGCAAAAGTGATTCTTCCATTACCAGTCTTTTCCCCAATTTTTTAAAATTTCTGCCAGTCCTATACAGATTCTAATTACATCTGGACAAGTAAAAGATGATTTAAAGAAAAACTGTATTGTAAGGTTGTACCTTTGAGTTTATATAGCTATAAGTTTAAAGCTGTATCTTTGAGTAGAAAGTTTATGCATTTAGTAGGAGCACCTGAAAAAGCATTTGAATGTTTCAAGGTGTAGTGATTTATTATCCAAAAAAAAATGTGTAGTATCATTCTCCATTTGATTGAAATGTTCTGTGCATTTAATTACACAGTAAATGTAAGTATTTGGTGAAAGCATGCGATTTAAGTTCCTGAAAAAGAAGTCCAGATACAGAAGAGTATCAAAATCACACAATGTGTGTAAGAAAACTGACAATACATTAGGTATTTAGTGTCAATTTTAGGGTGTGCTAGGATCGTTTGTTTTGCCTTAATGAATTTGTTCATGGTGGCCTTTCGATAAGATCCTTACTGATTATTACTTGAAAATACTATCGTAAAATATAAATTATTTTTATGATATATGCCCATACTGCATATATAAGTTAATAAATTAAGAGAAGATTCCTGAGGTAGTATGTGTGGCCTAAGTAATTTTGATGGGTATAAGATGCCTTTACTTCTCATGGACATTAATGAAATATATAAAGTATTCATAGTTTTGTGTGCTGTAGGACACCTGTCTTATAACGAATTGCTTTTCAAATGTGTTCCCAAATGTAACCTTTAGATAGTTCCTCACATACTGCATATATTCTTTTACAGATCTGATCATTAGTAGACTCTGATTGTGGTAAAATGAAAGGAAAATAATTTTGAGAGTGAATTTGTGTGTTTGGAGTGGAAGGGTAATTTAGGTACCATTTCTGTGTTTCAAATTTTAAAAATCAAATTAAAGCCATTTTTCATGTATTATAGTACTGCCAGATTTGTCGAAAGGGAGATAATGAGGAACTGCTGCTCCTTTGTGATGGTTGCGATAAAGGCTGTCATACCTACTGCCACAGACCCAAGATCACGACCATACCGGACGGTGACTGGTTTTGTCCTGCCTGCATAGCAAAGGTAATACTGACCATAAAGGTGAGGTGACTTACCGTGACCTTTTTATAGATGGTAGAGTAACAGGTCTACCGGTGCTTTTTTCAATGAAAATAGTGGTCTGTATGTTTTATGCTGGGCTGCCATTAAATAATGAGATTAACAGTTTTATTTAACTTGGATTATAGTGGCAGTAAAGGCTACGCTTTCATTTGTTTTAAACTGTATTTCTTAATGTAAGTAGCTACAGAATTTTCTTGCTGATTCAAGAGTATAGTTTTTTATTTCTCTTATTAAATTTTTTCAGTATTTGTCTTTCAGGCTTTATAGTAGTTCATAAGGGGTTAACTTGTGCTGTAACTTTTTCTGTCATTATCATGGTTATATTACGACTTACCATGTTATAAAGGTAGAAATTACCCTATCATGCTGTAATTTATCCCATCACTTCTCTTGATATCCACCCTCCCCATCTCCCCCCAATAACTACTGGGTTTAGTATAACAGAAAAACAATTTTTTTTTTTCTCAGGTGTTTTTTTTTTTTTTTTCCTGTCCCAAATTTGGCTATGGGTGGAGATTTAAAGGTGCCAGAAATTCAAGGTGAAATTACAGCAGAACTTTAAAACATGTTGAATATTGATTCAAAATTCTGTAAAACACTGAAACATTTTTGTTGAAGACTAGGTATAAACTGTGCCATCCTAATTTAACTCAATTTTTTTTTTCTTGTCTAAACCAAGAAAAACATCAACATCTGCCATTCCCACTTACTTAGAATTAATATTCACAGAACGTTTCAAAGTCGGGGCTTAGGTGATGACAGTTGATCTGTTCTCATTGCCTTACATTGTGTTTTTAACCAAATGGCTGAAAATGAACGTTCCTCTTCAATTGCCATGTGAACTGACTACTTGACTGTTTTTCTATCCTTGGACCAAGAACATAGTCATGATACAGAGTAGTGTTAAGAGAGTACAATTATTTACAAATCTTTCTGGTGTTCTGTGTTAAGCAAAAGGAATTCTATACACAACATACATTTTTCCACATTCATGCATTCATTCATCATCTGATTTGTACAAACTGACTACCATGCTAGTTATAATCAGTGCCAAATGCTTAAGAAAGTTATTTATGACATGTGAAATAAAGAAATTGTGTAGTAATAGCTCCTAGTAGGTAGCGAAATCTGCATATTCTTAACTCTGAAAAAGTATATTATAAAAACACAGGTTCAGCCAACTTCAAAAACAAATAGTGTTTTGATAGGAGAGTATAAAATATAAATGTTACAGTTTAAAAATTGTTCAAACTATCTAAAGTAATCTTAGTAACACAGGCAGAGTTTAGTACTTTTGATGCTGGCTGTCTTCATGAAAATTGTTTTCTATCTTTTCATTCTTTGACTGTCAGTGAATCTTTTCAATGGCATTGTGTGCTTGACTTGACATTCCACAAAGATCCTTAGTCTAATGATGAGAATGATGACTTCAGATACTGTGCTGCATTACGATGCTGTCAATACCCATAACAACTTACTTTTTTCATCTTAAATGTACCCCTTAGTTTCATGTTGCTGTCTATAAATAGTTCTGTATTAAAGTTCCTTTTTTTCCCCACTTTGTAGCATTCTTGTATTGTCACGCTCCTTTTACGGTCTCCTGTAATTGTCTTGCAGCCAAGCTTTCTATATCTTTCATATCTACTTTTTAATCTTTAAATGAGTTGATCCTGTCCCTGACTTTTTAAGAACTCTTTTCCAGTTTTCCGTATCTTGCAAATAATATGGCCACTTGAAAATGAATATACTATTCCAGCTGTGGTTATATGAGTCTTTTAGGAATAGACAAATTATTTGTCCTAAACTATGCCAGCCTGGTTTGTTAGGAGGTACTGTTTTACCAATCTGAAGGTCAGGTGCTTCTATATTGTCACAAGTTGAGAACCTAATCACTAGCAACAGGAATTTCTACAGCCTTACCTGCCCTTAGGTAAGAGCAAAAAGTAAATACTCTCTGATATCAGAGAGTATTTCAGTTGTTTTGGTGCTTCTGTTTGTCTGATCTTCATTGCTGTCTATCAGTAATAACAGAGGTTTCTGTAATTTCTTGGTTATTGCTTATTCCAGTTCTTTCTATTGTAGGCAAGTGGTCAAACTCTAAAAATAAAAAAACTTCAAATCAAAGGGAAAAAAAGTAATGAACAAAAGAGAAGCAGGAAATTAGCAGGAGATACAGAGGATGAAGACTCTGCAACTACAAGCACCTCCTTAAAAAGAGGAAAAACAGACCCTAAAAAAAGAAAAATGGATGAAAATGTTTCTGTAAGCCAATTAAAGCAAGAAAATTTCACTGCTATTAAGAAACCTAAAAGAGATGACTCCAAGGACCTGGCTATATGCAGGTAAAGTGACAAATTTTAAACTTGGGTGAGTGTTGTTGAAACAAGTAGCGCCTGATTCTTTTTATCTGTGTTCTGGGGAACAAGAACCCTATTCTTTGTCAATGTATCCCATACAGGTTGTGATAATTTGAGTGTGTATACATAAAGGATTTAATGTGTGCTTGCTGGGAGTAACTGCTGTATTTGGTAATGAAGCCCAAGAGGTACCTGATGTTAGAATGTGGTCTGTGAAATCTACTACTACACGCCCTTCCGAGAATGGGAAGGAAGAACCCTGGTAGTGGTACTGACATCCTTCTCGAGTGTAGCAAAGATGATTATGCACTGTGTCCAAAAGGCGTTGCATTACAGAGGAGGAGACAGTAACAGCAGTGCATCTTCTTTTGTAGTATTTATTGCTGGTCAGTCAAAAGTGACAGCCTCGTCATAGTTTTGGAAAGCCAGTATTGGCACCTGTTTTACTGGTTTGCAAATGGTTTACACTGAGCTTTGAAGTATTGAAGTTGCAGGGCTGTGTTTTTCTTTTAGAATGTTGATCACTAGAATTTCATCTTACGTAGGTTGCCTGGAGAGAACTTAATGATATTTTAAATATTCAGGTAAGATGTCTGTCTTTATCGACATCGTTCTCAGCCTTACACAGGGCACAGAATAAAGTGCTTTCCTTTTATAAAGTGAATAGGTTGGCAGTACATGATGAATTTATGGAACAGTGGAAAACCTCTGTGAATATATGAACAGCTTAAAAATACTGATTTAAAACCTTATTTTATTCAGCATGATTCTCTCAGAATTGGAAACTCATGAAGATGCCTGGCCTTTCTTACTTCCTGTAAACTTGAAACTTGTTCCTGGTTATAAGAAGGTTATTAAAAAACCTATGGACTTTTCTACCATTAGAGACAAGCTAAGTAGCGGACAGTAAGTAAACCTACTGTAAATTTTACTTTACATTTTAAAAGTATTTCAACACTTAAATACAGTACGTTTTTTAAAATCAGTTAAACTGTTTTGATCTGCCTTCACTGGCACCTCTGTGATTACTTTTACAGTCGAAATAAAAATTCTTCACTGTATACTTTTGTCTTTGCCATACCTAAGTGAAGCAGCATGTCAGGTGGGAGAACCTGTGGAACTGGCTGAAAAACAACAAAACTGCCCGGTCAAATGCACAAAGTCAATCAACAGGGAAAAACTTTTTTCCCTCATCTTTTCTCATTGAGACATCTTAATGTTGTTACATGTAAGCAAGAACCAACTGTGTGGCCTTTAAGCTAACGGAGTCCCTGTAAATAATAATGTAGCTGTGGAGTGAATTGGTACCGCTGTTGTGGGAAGCCAAGTAACATTCCAGTAATGGTGGTTAATAATTTTATAATCCTAGAATTAGGCTGCACAACTTCTTAAAAAAAAAAAAAAGATACTATATTCTTCTATTCCGCTTCCCTCCTTGTTACATCGCTGTGCTCTAATGGCTCCTCACACCAAAGAAAATAGTCATCCATAAAGATTGACCCTCTTCAGCATCTGTCAGCTCCACACGAAGCAAGATTCCTGGGACAACACAAGGGGCTTTTTAACCTCTTCGGGCTTTTTTTGCCTTGAATCTGAGATTTAAATGCTCCACACATGCATCATGGTATCAGTAGACTTGTAATTTTTGCTGTCTTTCGTAACTCCTGCGAATACTGGAACACTATTTGGGCCATACATGTTCAGGATAGTAAAAAGAATAACAAAGACAATGTTACAGGATTGATGTGGGCAGCCTTTTTTTTGTACCCAATTGTTCCTCTTTTAGGTAAATGCAGCTGTACTCAAAACTTATTTGAATGGACTTGAGCCCAAGAATAGATGAATAAATGGAAAATAGCTATAGCATTTTAACTAGAAAGCTACTGAAGGGAAGGGGGAAGTTAATTTATAAAAGTTTGTTTTCCAGTATACGCTTGAAATGCTACAGAGGTTTTGAGGAAAATAACAAATACAATTATGAGAGAGTATTTCCTTCCACTGATGTTCGTTTTCTTGTTAATATTTAAATTAGAATTAAAAAATTAAAAGTGTAAGTAACATGTAGAGCATTCATTGAATATTCTGTGGCTGGTTGTAAATTCGCTGATGTTAAGGTAGTTCTTTCTCATGTAGTTGAAGTGCTTTTCCCCTTTGATTCTCCATGTTCCAAAAATCATTCACCTTTTTCTTCTTTCAGGTACCCTAATCTTGAAGCATTTTCGCTAGATGTCAGGCTTGTTTTTGACAACTGTGAAACCTTTAATGAAGATGATTCTGACATAGGCAGGGCTGGCCACAACATGAGGAAGTATTTTGAAAAAAAATGGACAGAGATTTTCAAAGTGAGCTGAAGTTACCAGAACTCTTTTTTCTTTTTTTTTTCCTCCTTTTTTTTTTTTTTTCCATTAAATGAGGACTGATAAGACCAGCAATGTGAACTGTATTTACATGAAAGTGCAAGGCACATGCATAACTGATGACTGGTTTCTTCCTTTAAAATATCACAGAGTTGTGATACTAGTTCTAAAGGCTTCACTCCTACAGCAACCATGGCCCCTTGGTTATTGGTTTGTGTGTTTTAACAAACTAATTTAGGTAGAACAGGGAAGCACACCCAAAGAATTTCAAAGAAAGGGGTGTTATAGTGCAATAGCAATTTAAAATATATCAAAACGCACTGAATATTCAACCACCAGAGCTCTACTTGGGGAAATGGTTCTCTTTTCCCTTTCAATAAATATCTATTTTTCATTTTTTTACTTTGTAGTTTATTTTTTAGTGAATGTATTTAATTTTATGAATTATTTATGATTATACAGCATTCAGAATCTTCGTTTTCTGTGAAAAGGAAGAATTAGAAAATTGCTTTAAATCTTGAAAATACAACAAGGAATGTTTTAAAATATAAAACAAAGCCAAGTAAAACTGTTTACACTGATGTGCTGTAAAAGCACTAAAAATTAAACTTTACTGTAGAGTTACAAGTACATTTATATATATGTTGCTGCATCACTTGTGTAGTTAAATTGTATTTCAAGACAGTGAAGAAGAATTGAGACATGTATATACTGTTCATTATTGTTTATATTAAGTCTTGTTTTAAATATGTATGATGTGTACATATTGTTTGCAGACATTATTGTTTATGCCTTAGGAGGACAGTAGCATTTTATTTTAGTCTTAAGGTAATTATAGCTATATGGCTTGTACAGTAATTATCCTCTACCAACACTGTGGAGTCTCCTTAATCTTGGTAGTGCCTGCCTTTAAAACAGGGTGTAGGGGATATTAGTTTTCCATTTTTCTATTTTGTTATATAATTTCAAGCCACCACGGCCTCAAATTCAAGTATAATCATTTGTATCCATGTGGAATAAAATTGTGACAATTTCCTACGCACACAGTATTTTTTCATAGAAACATTTCCCTCCATTTGCCTTGCCACAGAAATAACAAAAAAGACATTTGTAACCACTGTGTTTTATCTACTGTGTGTTGTGGTGGCCTGCTGGGGCAGATAGATCAGAAATTTTTTTTGTACTAATGTAAGAGTACTTGAAGTTTTATTTAAAAGAAATGTTGTGGAAAGGTAGCATTCTTTTTCTTTTCCTTTTTTAGGAGTGTTATTTTTCACTAGTATGTGTGGCACGGATACAATAAAAGACTGTTTTGCAAACCAGATTTTCTTGGCGATTTTAATACTTTGGATCCTGTGTGTACAGGAATTTTTAAAATAATATCTTGGGAGTCTTGCATTTAACATTCAGTTCTTATTATGATGCATCTAATTATCCTGGCCTTTTAATGGCAATTCAAAAAGAAGCAATTACCAAGCAGTCAGAGTGCAGTTCAACCGCTTATTTGAATGAGCGTAAATGACATTAGGTGTAACCATTGTGCTGCTTCGTATTTGACCTGTTTCTGCCAGTCCTGTTTCCTGTTGTTACAGTGTGAATGCAAGTGATAATGTAAATACATGCCACATGTAATGCTTCTTAAAGCCACTGTCCATGCAAGGTTTTGTCCTTTTTTTGGTCCATAGAAGTCATAATCCTTGCTCTGACTGAATAAAATAGAGGAATTACAAATGAATATTGTGGAACCCCAATACCTATAGCTCCCTCACCAAGTAATGTTTTGGGGGTTTTTTTGGGGGGGTGGTGGTGTTTTTTGCTTGTAAACTAGGCCTGCCATGTTTGAGTCTTAGAGCCTTGTTTTGTATACTGCCTTGCCATTATACTTCCAGTCTCTGCTGAGAAAGAACAGTCAGTGCCTGGTTTTTAATAAAATTTTTGTTTCTGTTGCCCTCCCCAGAACATCTTGTTCAATAATATTTTTCTTTTCTAAAATCCTGTTGCAATAATTCGAGTTGCGTAGAATAAAAAAATTCACATTTGGGTGTCAGGCAGTCTTGCATTCTACCATTAGCACCACCACTGACTGCTTCATGCCTTTCCTTTTCATCGCCTTTCTGAAGACTTCAATAAAAAGGTTCCAGAGATGTGAAGATTAATCAGTGTTTTGAATATATGATGGTAGGCTTGTAAGAGTGTTATAAGTATGCTTAGATTATTGGGAAAACTATTTCTTTGATGCAAAGGAATTCACACCCCACACACCT